TACTCTCATTTCTATCAGACCTAACACACATGTTACTCCTCTCACCGTATGCTTCTTTAAGTTGCTCAAAAAACCAAGTTCACGCAGCATCATTTTCTGAGTCAATAATACCATACGCAAGTGGAAATATATGTCCTACAATAATATCAAAATCATATATTAAATGTACATATACAACAGATTTCAAGTATATACATATACATTATTACACACACACACACACACACACACACACACACACACACACACACACACACACACACACACACACACACACATATATATATATATATATATATATCTGCGCCATCTGTCGTGCTTGCTGCAACAAATGTCCCATTATATGGACCTCTCAGATGACTACCATCCACCACGACTACTGGTCTACAATGATTGAATCCTTGGATAAATGTATTCAATGCAACAAACAGATACAAGAACTCATTATTCGTACTCTTTTTCATACGTATATGAGACCCCGGGTAAGTGATATCCATCATATACAAATACGCAGGTAACTTTGCATATGATGCAGCTGGTGTACCCCTCAAAGCTTTCAATGCTTTCTCTCTGGCCCTTCAATCCAACATATAGTTGACATCAACTCCTAGATCAATCTTAACATCTTTTCTAATATCAGCTGGTGTATATTAACGTTTATGATCTACAAATTTAGGTTTCACAATCCCTCCTATTAAATTGCTAGTTACATGTCTTTGCGAATAAACTCTATCTTTTAAAGGACATGTATGCTTTCGGTTGAATGCTCGAATTCTGAATATTCCAGATTTGTTGATATTAGAGGCCTTCATTCACCATTCACATCCTTTAGAATAACATTCCACAGTGTAACTGCATTAGATTTTTAATATAGTATACAAATTTAGTTTACAATAGGCAATACAAACATTTATACAATTTAAAAGTCAATATTTTGAGAGTCACACTACCTTATTGATATTGATCGAGTAGTTTTATATTGAAATTTCTCTTTAATCACATATCTTTTCATGACTGCTTTCAAATTGATTTGTCCTTGTATACTTGATCAACCTCAACATGCTTATTAGATTCTTCTGAAATCACCCAAGTTGTATCAATCGATACAAACGCAACATTTGTATCCTCAGGTTCAACAACAATCATATCATGACAATCATTTTCTCCAACAGTTGCCAACACCCCCAACTCTTTACACTGAGAAATTTGTCTATCACATGAATCCAAAATAGTTATACAAATAGGAAATTTATTAAAATCAGTGTTGACCTTTTTTAGCATTACGTACACTCTGACACCCATGTCATTGTGTATAACCATTCGTTTATTGCTTTCTTCAACCTTGTACTCAATCTTCAAAGTCTTATTATTCATATCAACACCAATCTGTTTCGCAATAGTAGTATAAAAATCAAGAAACGTTGATTGTTCCTTAAAAACTACTCCCTCTATAGTATAATCAACATAACTATTTGTATCGTCCCATTTTCCAGAATGCATAACCAAGATAGCTAATGAGCCCATATATATATATATATATATATATATATATATATATATATATATATATATATATATATATAATAATTCAAAGATCATATATACAATTAATACAACAATATTTATACAATCAAATTATAGAAATTTTATACTATTATTATTTTTAATATACAAACACTACATCTACAATAGTATATAAATCTATCAAAAAAAACACATGTTTTTTGAATATATACAATTATGACCACTGATTAGATAGTTTCGATTACAAAATATACAAATTATGCGAATAACATATACAATTACATTAACAGTATATAATTGTATATTACGAAAATTCAGCTTAACAAAATCATATTTTGAATTTTTTTTTTAAAAAAACACATCACACTAACAAATGAACACAAATTCAGCTTAACAAAATCATATTTTGATTTTTTAAAAAAAGAAAACCACATCACAATAACGAAAGAAAACAAATCACAATTTCTAAATCCAATTTACATTGTATAGTTATTGCAATAATAACCAAGAAATTTCATAAAAAAAATACTTACCTGTATTCGATTGCAAATATTGCTGAACTTCAGTTTCACAAAGAGCAAAAATAAAATTATATTTTTGTTTCAATTGCAATATGATTTTTTTTGAATTTGAACGTCTAGCTTAAAAAAGGGACGTTTCCCTAAAATTGTGGTATTATCTTAATTTATTGTTACAATATTTAACGCTTCAGTTACAAACCACTTTTTAAAATAGAATTGTATAAAATAAAAAAATAAAAACCTTTATATACAAAATTAAAGACACCTAAAATAACTAAACTATACCCATATAGTGTAATTAGGTAAACTATACCCATATAATGTTTTTTAATCAAATAAGTTTGCCATATATGAAATTTACCCTTATTACTACAAATGGATGAACTTACATTCCAAATTTCTTCATAGAATTCACTACAATATATCATTCTTTGACTTTTAATTGGATATTTGTATTGATGACAATCACTTACTCTTTGGATTGGTTTTGTGGAATTGTTTAAGCATTATAAAAAATGATGCCGCTGTTGAAAAATGATGGCTAAGAATTCCATTTTAGAAATTAGTTTGTAAATTTGTTTAGTTATGGTAAAATTGTTTGCTTGGCGTTGTTGTTTGCTGATTTACAGGTCTAAAACATGATTGACAATGATAGTCACTACGGTCAAAATTGAAAACATTGGTGAATTGACTTACATGCACATGAACATCATTTAACCACGAGAGCCACTCGGTTACCTCCCACAATTAGGAGGGGATTTTTTCATCTATATGGAACAATACTAGTATTTCTCCAACAAAGAGTAATATTTGAGGGTTTAGCTCTTGAAGACCCCACGAACACCTTAGGAATTTTATGGATAGTTTGTGTTCAAAAACATCTCACAAGAGAAAGCGGTTGGAACAAGTGATGGTAAGTGCCAGAGAATGCCAAATTTGAGGTCATTATGTATGTAAGAATATTTATACACATACATTACATGTAGTACAAGAAATTCTAACATAGAAGGTAAGTAATTACAAACATTTATGGATTATAGAACAATGTGTACATTCCTAAAAGAAGCATATTGCTCATAGCTTCATATACATGATAATATAGAATAGAACACATATTATGGAGTTACTAATAACATTTTATCATCACTCAAATGAAAATTGGGCATCAAGAGACCTTAAACCGTTATGCAACATAAACATCAAAAATAGTTTGAAAGCGTCAAGCATATACATATATAGTAGTCTCCTCTAGATACATTACATCTTACAACTATATTTAGGGTTCATGGAGCAAACTTAAAGATTTTATCTTACAACAACTTTATACTTTATATCTATCAAAAGTAAATCCGAGCTCCACAAGATGACACATCGAGGCTCTCGACATTTCACTTCAGAGGTAGGTTGCTCAATCTCCTCGTAGAATCGTTTTCCAAAACCTGTAAAATAGTTAGAAGAAGTTTAAGGAATAAGTTCAACAAATCAGTAAGAAATTAAATATTCAATCTGTGTAACCGTCTAGACAAGCTATAACTTTTCACCTCAACAAAGTAAACCTGCAACTCAAACGTAATCATGAAATATACAATTTACACATAATCTTATATATTACAACACTATCACCGGCGAAAGCATTTGAACATGCATCCTAGTGAAACTTCATGTCAACCCATCCTTACTACTCTACATTGTATTTTCTCTGTTTCTTGTGGTGGCAAGAAGGATCTTGATGTCTATTGCATTGTATCACATATACATATACATCGACTCATATGTTAGCACATTATTGAAGGAATATTGATTGTATTGAAGTGTTAACCTAATAAGGGAATACATGGGAGATATATATAGGAGATATAGGAAGGAGTATTAATCCTAATAGGACTAGGATTAAGGAGTACTAATCCTAATAGGACTAGGATTAGTACACAGAAAATACTAATATTATTTAATACTATTTATTTAATACTATCTGTTATTATCCCCCCTCAAGCTGAGCTGAGCGGAAGCGAACAGAAGCTTGGAACTGAGGTAATCGTGCTGTCGGCTCGGGAGAGGCTTGGTGAGAATATCAGCCGGTTGTTCTTCAGTGGGTACATACTGCACAGTCATGGTGCCGTCCTGAACTTCATCGCGAACAAATAGACAATCGGTATCAACATGCTTCAGTCTGGTGTGTAAGACGGAATTCTTGGCGAACGGATGGTTGATTTGTTGTCACAATAGAGAGCAGGAACAGTGTGAGTGACGCGGAGTTCGCGAAGAGTATATGTGACCCACATGGTCTCAGCAGCGAGAAGAGCAAGGGCGCAGTATTCAGCTTCAGTCGAGGACCGAGAGACCTTGGGTTATTTTTTTGTACACCAGGAGATCAAGTTCGGCCCCAAAAAAATGAGAAACCCCGATGTAGATTTTCTGTCATTTTTATCATTCGCCCAATCTGAATATGAGAACCCCTGAAGCTCCAATTCCTGGGTCGAATGAGTAAACCACGGCCAAGAGTGCCAAAAATGTACCTGAGAATGCATTTTAGACAATGGTAATCATGTTCACTTGGTTGATGCATGTGCTGAGCAACTCGGTTGACAGCAAACTGGATGTCAGGACGGGTAATGGCCAGATACTGTAGAGCACCAATGAGGCTGCGGAAGTGGGTGATATCGGCAAAGGGGGTGTCGGCTCCATTCGTAGACGAAGAGACTACCATTGGTGTTGGTTGACTGGTGCATTTTTCTAGTCCAGCTTTCTGCAACAGATCTCAGGCATATTTTGACTGATGAAGAAACAAGCCGCTACCTGTCCGAGAAACCTCCATTCCCAGAAAAAAATGTAACGGGCCAAGGTCCTTCATTTTAAAGGTAGTATGCATAGCTCGAGTGACATCCTGAATGAGAGCTGCAGTAGAGCCTGTAATAATGATATCATCTACATAGACAAGAAGAATTACTGTACCGTGTGCTGAATGTCGAGTAAACAGACTCGTGTCGTGTACGCAACACGTAAAGCCGAGTCCCTGGAGGAACATATTCAGACGTGTGCACCAAGCACGGAGGGCTTGCTTGAGCCCATATAGAGACTTCTGGAGTTTGCAAACATGTTGAGGGAAGCGGGGATCAACATAGCCCGGTGGTTGCGTCATGTAGATAGTTTCATCAAGCATGCCATGAAGAAAAGCATTGGAAACATCCAACTGATTGATGAGCCAATTGTTGCGCACGGCGAGTGATAGTACCGGGCGAATGATTTCCTGCCGAATAACAGGACTGAATGTCTCGGAGTAATTAAGCCCATACTCCTGATTGTAGCCTATAGCAACCAAACGAGCCTTGTACCTGGAAATACTGTCATCTACATTGTGTTTAATTTTGTATACCCATTTACAGCCCACTGGGTCCCGCCCATGGGGCTTAGGTACAAGAACCCAAGTTTTTCTGATCAGTCAAAGCC